CTCAAATTACTTGGTCAAAACTTGGTCAAATTTTATCCAACTTTCTGTATGTCCTTCTCTAAGATGTAAAATCTAACTTTTATATTTGGCTCAACTTGAGTTCCTTAATAAAAATCCGAAAACGCGAGATGCCAATCATCATTGCCCTTTGAAAATCTAGACTTAGCTAAATTTTTTCGAGAGGCCAAAACAAAGACTTGCATTCAAACTTGAGGCCATTGTTTGAGCCACTTAAGAGTTGAATCAGAGATTGGTCCAAAAATAAAGTTTGTTCTACTCCACTAAAACTTCAACTTTTATTTAAGGTCAAACTTTATAACTTGTTTTCACACTGTTATTTGACCTTGGTCAAAGCAGCATCACGATAAACCTTAAATTAGAGTTTTAGACCGATTGAGGCATTTTCTTTGCATTTGCTCAACACGAACCCTTCATGATTTTTTTGTAGAGTTCAATTAGAGTTAGTTGGGCAAGGTAGCAAGGTTTGGTCGACATCCCACGTTCCCATTCACCTGATGAAGCAATTTAAGCAAAAATATAACTTATCATTTTATGTGACTTTTTGGTTCCAAACTTCATAAAACTTTTCCACTGGTAAAGATGGATGTATGTTGATGTAATGTATATAAAATAAGTATGTTTAACATTACTCTTACATAATCTTAACAAGGGTCCACATGTAAGCAAAGGCGTGTTGTCCAAGTTCAAGTTGGGACTCAGTTTCATAGATTGGACCTTAACACCTTCATCATCACTTCAAAATTATGAACTAGACCTCTTGATTACCATTGAACTTGCCATGTTGAAGCTCAAACCCACTGCTTAACTAGTGAAAAACACCTGGGGTGTTACACTATATGCATTTATATTACAAGGAATGCATCTACCAGTTGGCAGTAGCACATATGTGTACCATGCCAATGTGCTACAATGTGACAATGATTGTAGTGTCATGCCTTGGCGCTATCATCATATACTCGTGGTCTAATTATAAATTTAGCTGTAGAACATATTCAAGTTTGACCTCTACTTACATGAAACCCTTCTTATCATCCTTTGCTTTACCATATCTTGCAGTTGGCATGATTGAGTTGAAGAAAGACAAATTTAGGTATATAAGAGATCTATTGGAAATGACCCCTATTAAACTTCACCAAGATTATCTATGAAGAATGGTTCACCAAGATTAATCCTCAGCTTGTGAGTACTCGATCTTGCAAATGCTAAAAGTGTGCCAACTAAGTAGGAACCACATAAGTGAATGTTTTTTTGAAGAGTATGGAGGGGCCAAAGCCTCTACAGTAGAAAAGTTTTATTAAGAACGCAAGCAGAGAGAAACAAAAAACAAGTAACACAAGTATCACATAAGTGAATATTCAGTGGCAACATTATCATCGGCAATTGTTATTGCATATTTAGCACATCACCACAACAACATGCACATATTTAGTTATTACATGCTACTCCTATATGTCAAAAACTTTAGAGCTCATGTCCTCAAGTTCGGATCGGTCGACAAGGCACATCAAAGAACGACCAAAAAGATGTCTTAGGCTGGCTTGCTACTAGCAAGGGTGTGGCACCTACCATGACCGAGATTCTGACTTAGGTAGAAATTCTCAGTACCAACACCTTCGTGAGACTGAAAGGCTAGCTCTAGGCCATTGATAACAATGTGTATGGAATTTGACATTGGTCTTACCTTGTGGAACGGTTTGGACTTGTGGAACGAATTAGACTCGTGAATTATGTCTATTTAATGATGGATTGTATATATTCTTGTGAATTAGACTTGTAATGGTAGTTTATATAATGCTCTTGTGCTTGTGGTATATATATGTGTGTGTGTGTGTGTGTGTGTGTGTGTGTGTTAATTTGAATTTAATTGAATTGTAATTTGAATTTTTTTACGAAAAAATATATCTTGTAGGAGCGGTTATAGACTGAACCGCCCCTACAACAGCAGTAGATATTATAGGGTAATTGGTACTACTGCCGCCCCGACCACCTCTACAAATCGATTTGTAGGGCGGTATGAGAACCACACCTACAAATGCATGATTTGTAGAGGCGGTATGGTAGGGACGGCTGGCTGAGCCGCCTCTACAAAGCCTCCTCACCAGCCGCCCCTAGAAACCATTGCTGTAATAGTGAATGCCGCACCTAAGCGACGGCGAGCTCTGTCCAAGTCCTCTAATGGTTGTTTTGGGGCCTTGAGCGAGGTGAGAAGGTAGATAGGGATGGCACTTAGAACCAATCTCACCAGCTCGCGTCGCCCTGCTGGGTTAAGTAATTTTCCTTGCCAGCCCGCCAGTCTGTTTCTTCTTTTATACATAGTACGCTGAACGTGCAAAATTTTGAGTCGTCCCAGAGTAAGTGTAAGGCCCAGGTAGGTTATTGGAAACGTACCCGTTGGCTAGAGGTGGTGTCCAGAATCTGATCAAGGTTTAGTCCTGCACATGACCACATATATAACATTATGAGGCTATTTGGTTCCTCGCCCTTTATCCCCTGCTTAGTTGGTGACTAAGATGAGGTTGCCATAGCCGCACAAGAGTTAAAGCTTCAGGAATCTCGCCACAGTCTGTGGCGGTGAATTTGGCTGCCACAATCTATGGCCGCCACACCTGCGCTGTGGCAAATAAAGGCTGGCATCCAAACAGCCTCTATATTATTCAGCTTGCAAGTTCAACAGTTGACCTGTTGACTTTGAACAGGACACGTTCTGGTTGGTCGAACGCGGATCGAACTAGACAGGAATTAGTCATTTGATTTTACTTATCTTATTTGGAATTAGTCAGTTGAGTATGCATCTAACTGTATCAGTTCAGTGAAGCTTGGAAAATCTGTTGTATGTAGGCCACCTGCAGTCCATCACTGACTGCTGATGGGTCATGTGCTATTGGCATCAAAGGATATACAACACTGTACAGAAACTGATTCATGAAGCAACTGTGAATCCTTCTCCAATAAGAAAATTGCTCGTCTATTCTTTCCAAAAAAAAAAAGGTTCCCACTAGCTAACAAGTAAAGGATGACACAACATTGTAGCTAACGAATCAAGAGACTAAACGGTAATGCTACGCGTCGTATGTCCGACGTGAGCAAATCGTTGGACGCTCATGTAGGGCCATAGCCTCATTGCTTGCGCTTTTACCTTGCGCTTTCGCTCCGCCAATGAGTTTATTAAAAAATCGCCATCCTTATCCCTTCTGCTTTCTCCTCTCCTGTCGCAGCGCCTTGGAGCTGCCCCGTCCTGGACGCGCACTCCCCTCGCTGCTGATGCGTGCCCCATCCGGCACTGCTCGCCCGCGCCCCATCCCGTGCGCCTCTCGCCCCCTCCCGTCGCCTGCGCCGCCCGCTCCCTCCCGTCACATGCGCTGGTGCTAGTGGTGCTCGCTCGCTTGTCCGCGCTTGACATGACGCCCGCCCGACCGACCCAAGCCCAATCTCTTTGGTGGTAGGTGGTGCTCACGTGGGCGCTGGTGCTAGATGCTAGTGGTGCTCGTGGACGCGCCACACTTGGCTCCCGGCCCGAAGGCCGAAATAGACCGCACAGCGCTACCCTCCCCTATGTTGCAAATATATGTTTTAAGTGTTTCAGATGTATGTTGCAATTGTTTTATATGGATGTTGCAAAAGTAAATCGGGGATATTGCACATGCTACGTATGTTGCAAGTGTTTGAGAGACATGTTGCAAGAGTTTGTTTAAAATATTTCATCTGTTCCAGACGTATGTTGCAAGCGTTTTATGGATGTTGCATATGTTTTAAACATATGTTACAACAGTATGTTCCAAAAATTTTATCGGTTCCATTCTTCCGTTGCAGCAAGTATTTTCATGTTGCAAGTTGCAAGTGTTCTATCTAAATGTTGCATATATTTTTATACATATGTTGCAAGTATAAGTTCCAGATGTTTCATCTGTTTTAGACGTATGTTGCGTTCAAGTGTTTTCACGTTGCACGTGTTTGATGCTGTTCGGAGAGTCTAGGGTGCGAGGGAGTGATGGTGGCATGGCACGGGCGCTGAGGAATGAGGGCGTGGCGAGCCAGTGGCCGACGGACGTGGCGCACGGCGCGCTAGGGGCCGGGGGTCAGGGCCACGACAGGGCGGGGCGAACGGATGGGGCCGAGGTGCGGGGATGGGGCTGGTCTAATCGAGGCGGACGGGGCAGATTGCGAGCGAGTCGTACGGACACGACGACGGCGCGATGCGCATGTGGGCAGGGCGAGTTAGCGGACGGGAGGGGGTGGCAGGTTGTGCAGGCGCGTGCAGAAAACGGCCGTATGATGAATCCTATCCGGTTGGACGTCCTGGCACCAGCACGTCGCATCTCTAAAAATCCAGGCTTGCAGCACCCGTTAAATAGAACAGAGGCACTTGGCAACTTAGAAATCCGTAGGTCTTTCTCTTCCCAAATATTTTTAATTAAAAGTCACAAAAAAATTATTTTTAATTAAAATGAAATCAAACAGTTTTCAGCCCTAAATTAGTTAAAAATGAACCGAGGCAATGGTACGATAGTCATGGTAGTTTTGAGATTCGAGTAGTACCAGATGCGTGCCAAAGACAGTGCTAAAGGGTTAAAAAAAAGACACACTTGGCTTTAGATCAAAATTAGGATTACATATAGGGCATGTTCGGCAGGACTGAAAAATAAGCAAAAAGACTGTTCCGACTGATTGTTGCGGGAGAAAAATATTGTTCTGTCTAAAAAATACTGTTCATGTGAAACGGGTTGGCCAGCCACCAGCTTTTATTTATAAACATGTGCTGCGGGAAACATCGCTACGAAACCGAACATGAACATAAAGTACCTACATCTGTTAGTAGAAACGAATTCACAAATTCAGATTACAAAATGAGGAGCAGATTGCATGCAAGTTCTGATGACATCATTCGACTGACGGAATAATGGCAAATCAAATTGCAGCGCGGGCAAGATTGCTGATAACGATACAATACAACACATCATTCACAGTATGTACACGATTGCTTATGGCCAATCTCTAATATCTGAACTAAGTGGCCTGTCAAGTTTAGTGCCTTCAGCTCCGGTGATATGAGATTTAGTTACGGTTTTGGATACCGGTGTAGCTCCATCTGAAGAGCACTTCTTCCAAGATCTCGTGATTATTCGAAGGTGTTCTGCCACTTCTTTCATTGTTGGTCTCCGATCTATTTCCTCACAAATACACTTCAGCGATAGCCTCCCCATCTCTTCAAGCAGAACAATATCTCCACCATGAACTGCAATATCATCATCAAAAAATGTCCTTCCACTGCCATCTGCCAGGCAAGCTGTGCGGAATTGTGAAATGAGGTCATCATGATCGGCATAAAATACAAAGTTCTTCCTACTAATAAGCGTCAAGAGAAGGACACCAAACTGGTATACATCGGTTTTCACTTTTAGTGACACACAGTGATCGTGAATTAGGTCGTCGTAGAACCTGCTTGATGGAAGCTGATGACTAGTAATTGCATCGTCGCTGGCAATAATGTTACTCTCCTTGATAAACTTCCTTGCCCATGAAAAGCCAGTGAGCTTTGGCATGAAATTATCATCTAGAAGTATCTTGGATGGTACCACATAACCGTGTCTGATAATACCAGTTGCTGATGAGTGGAGGTATTCTAATGCTTCTGCAATTTTTACTGCAATCTTTGCACGTAAATCTAGTGGGAAGTCTTCATGCCTGTCCAGGACATCAGATAAACTACCTTTAGCAGCAAACTCATACATGAAAGCTGGGCAATCAGCATCCGGGCAATATCCCAAAAGTTTGATGATGTTCCTATGGAATATTTGAGACAGGATCATCCCACCATTGATAAACGCTTCTTCAAAGCCCTCAAGTACTTGAGAAAATATTCTCACTGCTACCACTGTATTGTCCTCAAGTGTCCCTTTGTAAACTCTACCTGAAGTACCTCCACTGAGTAGATAAGAGTAATTATGTGTGACTTCTTTTAGCTCCTCCTGTGTGAGAATTCTCACATTGCTGGGTTCTGATTGAATCTTAGAATTGCTAAGGTTCCTCTTCAAAAAGACCAAACTCTTCTTAATCTGCATCTTAGAATTATAGGTGGGCATGATTATCTCTTGCCTGTTGTTTCTGCGCCATGAATGGTGTGATGCCAAAATTGATTCTGAATAATTTTCATGTCTGTCCTTCAATTCTTTTCTCAGAATCCGAAGGCGTTTGACCACATCAGTCATCTGAGGACGCCTATAACTGATCAGTGATAGGCACTCAATTGCCAATTTCTTCATTTCTTTAAGAATCTTCATGTTGTTCTCATTTGCTATTGCAGCATCAAATATTTCTCTAAACCCTTTACCACTTGCACAGCCTTTATTGACATATCCAATGAGGTTAATGTCACCTTTTCTTACCCTTTCTCTAGCTATTAGTTCACAGAGAACTAATCCAAAGCTATAAACATCACTCCTTGGAGTAAGACATCCCTCTTGAATATATATAGGATCCATGTACTCTATACTTCCTTTTACACAGTCGTAGTGTACCGAGTGATGCCACCGACCAGAAGCCTTGAAACTCCAAAATCCGTTAATTTTGCTGTCAAATTGTCATCTAGAAGTATGTTGGCAGGCTTAATATCACCATGACAGACAAGGTTGCCAGATGATAAATGCATTGAATGCATGTAGCTTAATGCCTCTGCACACCCTATAGCAATACCCAATCTTACATCCAAAGGGATCGAAATTTCACTGTAGTGGAGTATGTCATTGAGATTTCCTTTGGACATATACTCCATTACAATCATGAGAGTATCGTTCCCCAATGCAATAGCCTATGAGCTTCACCACATTCTTGTGGCTAATTTTACTATGGATACGTACTTCTTCCATAAACACTTCTCTCAAATCTTCATTGATATATTTCTTCACTGCTACAGGCTCATTGTCATCGTCAAGGATTCCCATATAAACTTCTCCAAAGCCACCTTTTCCGATAAGAGTGCTAAAGTTTCTAGTAATTCTTTCAATCTCAACTTCTGTAAAAATCTTAATGTTGCCATTGATCTCAGCTTCATGCTTTATCTTATCATGGCACTGTGTGATATTTCCAGTCATAATCTTATTTACTGCAAGTTGTGGTGTATACCAAAGCACATTTGCCACAATGCTTAGCACCTGTGATGGACAAAAAATAAAAATAAAAATATATAAATAAAAACCAGAATTATCAGTAACATTAGTAAGACTTTTATATGAAATATGTTGTTAGGCATGATAAAATTAATTTACTCAGATCTTCTGTATATAGCACATTTAATTTGTTGAACCGTTGTTTTTGGCACTTTACTATCTCTATGGATAATCTTTTTTAACCATTCAACTGGTGAACAAGTCTAGCCTACTGACCTGATAATAGAATTGCAAGACTAAAGGAATTAGTCATCGGCTGTGGAATCAGTTGTTCTAAACTTATTTTTATAGAAAAAATAGCAAATCTCACAAAACCCCGGTAGAACAAATTTATAACACAAAGCCACATGTTTGTATTCTTCTGCATAAAAAATAAAACAAGGTCATGGGCATTTATAGTAACACAGAGCCACATATTGTATCACCCTCCATTTGAGCAAGCACACAAACTAGCATCGAGATGACTTAGAACTGAACTGCCACGTTGGAAGGAGGACAAATATCATGTTGGAGTGGAGTGCGGAGATTCAGTCAATACAGTATGAATGAATCATCTGAACACAAAAAATATTTAGCACACACATCGTGAAGGGAAAAAAGGGTTGATGGAGATGCTTGTGAGTACAACAAAGATGTCGGTATCTGTGGTTGCACCTGCTGAAGCATGCAACTAGGAGGAGAGGATAAGGATGGATGTTGGACTGTCATTATTCAAACACTATGGCTCAATCAATAAATTCCCCATGTTAAGATACAGATTTGCATAATCCCCAAAGTAATTGAAAAAAAAAAATCCTCAAGTGAACAGCACAAACTCACAGAAATATGCTTAATTGTAGGTCAGATAATCCAAGACAAACTCTTTCCAAATTGACCCAAAACAAAGACCAAAAATCCCTTTTATTAGCCTAATCAAGTTCACACGACCAGAGTTCACTGCAAGTTCACACAGCAAGCTGCAGACGTTGGTCTTCAGCGCCATGGAGCAGCACTGGCTTTTGCCCCCTCTCTAGGTGAGAAAGATGATGAAAGCATCCAGTAGCTTTCCATCCTTTCGATGTGCCATGGCAGCCTGAGGCCATTTCGGTGTCCCTGTGTGTACCCGCTTGGAATCAAGACTGCAAAAATAGCGTTTCATGGCTTTGTGCTATTATGAACACATCCATGTGGCTTAATTTGTGCAAAAGAGTACCAACACAAGTGTTCTGCCTCACATATCGCCATACACATGTTGTTCTACGAATTTGCTCAAAACAATACAATAACCCATGCATATCACCCCCAATCCAGTATCCAGAGACGTAGCTGCATACCAATTATTCACAGCAACACTACCTAGAGGGACATGCCGAAACAAACTGAGGAATTCCCCGCACATAGATCTCTAAACGCAAGAGTCATGGAAATAAAACAAAAGTACTGGAGGTAAACATACCGTGCACACCTCAGCATCAGGCTTCCACCTCCTCAACTCCGGCAACGGCCACCAGAAGCGACTTCTCTGGCCAGGCGACGGCGAGCAGCTTCAATTTCTCCCCTAGATTGAGCTTCACCAGCCAGTGCCGCAATGACTATTCCTGTCCCTGCCTGCAGAGAAAGGAACCTTCATAAGTGAGGCAGATTACTTATACAGGCTTGAAATGAGAGAGCTGACCATGACTTTTGGCACTGGCAGATCGAGACTGGTGGAGTGCGACGGGGAGCGAACCCACGTGGCAGAATCGGTCCATTCGCTTCGCGAATGTACCCAGAAGCAGCTGATTGGTTGATTTGTCCGTCTTTGGAATCAGTCAACTAGTCAAGCGATTATTTTTTTCAACAAGAGGAATTTTCGCGGATGCAGCACTGATGCCTGCAGATCCGCCGCAGCGCGCAGGACGCTAGTCAAAGTGTCGGCAGGGCAGATTGAGATTGCTACTGGCCTACTGCACGGCGGGCTGCTGGCATCAAACTAGCAAAGGACATCGGGGGGGAAAAAAAGAAGCATAGCAATGGACAAATGATTGTACCACTGCATACGGGGATTCGATCTAGAGCACATGGAATGGAACAGATTCCAGAATTTTCAGAAGGCTTTCCTGAAACCTGAAATCTTGCACTGTACTAGCATACAAGAACTGAAACGTCGTTTCTCTAGAGACAAAATATCAGACGAAAGGGAACGGAACAGAGGGAGGCAGGCAGGAGTAAACTAGATACCGTGGTTGCTGCCACAATCGTGGCCGGAGGAGAAGGCAGCGCCGGCTGGTGGGGACGCGGGCGGGCGGGCAGCATGCGGCGGCGGCCGCGGGTCGCCTTCGCCTCAGCTGCTCCGGCGGACTCTGGCGAACGGATGGGCCGCGCAACGCAGGACCGACGGTGGGCCGGGCTCCTGAGGTCGTCGCATTTATTGGCGCTGGCCCAGCCCGGAATAATGTGACCTATAGGCCCGTCCCGATATTCCTTCTTCGCTACCAGTATCCCTTTCTTTTCTTTTTCTTTAAGCTATATATATAGTATAACATACAGTACGGATATTGTATAGCAAAGTACCAACAAAATGCCCTCACAAATAGCACCGGTACCTAGTTTTTTTAATTAGTTTTTTAGTTGAGAATATTTTAAAAATTGTTTTTTTGTTTGTTTTTAATTGTATAGTTTTTTTAATTAGTTTTTTAGTTGAGAATATTTTAAAAATTGTTTTGTTTGTTTTTAATTGTAACTTGCCTCTCGTTGTTTGTCTCCGCCATATGCATCAGCATTAATTAATTAATTAATTCTATATATAACTATCGTTGACTAATTTATTGATGACTATCATCGTCTGTCTTTTCTCTTCTTTTTTCACTCCTATCCAATGGCTATATAATTATCTACTGCTATAAATGAAGGGCCCTTTTAGTTTTCTCTCGGTGAGCTCCATCTTTAGATAAAAATTACTGTCCAAATCTCTCACGATAGTTCCTTGGTCCTCGTATGTATTAAAAAAAATTATGGTCTTTTACGTCTCTTTTGAATCCATAATTGCCTTTTTACTGTAAACCATCGTCCTATGTATCATTATTCTGCACACACTTCTACCTCAAGCAGCCACTAACAAACCTCAGCATCGCACCAACATAATAGCATGTTAATTTATAAGCTTATAAGTCCGCGAATAGTATTTTCTCTCACAACAAATAGTATTTTTTCTCTCACCCAGATTTAACGGGACAATACATCAGCACAAGCCTTTTCAAACATACTACAGAACCAGCACTGACGCTAGTCAGTTACTGATAAAAGCATGCTACCCATGTCGCTCTATTTTTATATTGATCATATTGTGGTTTTCAGAGTTGTGGTTTGAACCTGTGCCGTAGCGTGAATTCTAATTTATGTACGTGGATGGATATGCCAACCAAAGACGCCCTACAACCTGCATCATCTGAACAAGAAGCATTCGTGAGTAAAATTCATCGTCGGTCCTTGAACTCTCAGGTCTCTGAATTTCTAAAGTGATATCTTTGGATCCCTAAATTTGGTCAGATGGTGTCATCTAGGTCCTCAACTTTTAAGGTGATCACCGTAGGTCCCTAAACTTGGCCGGTGGTGTCATCACAGTCCCTAAACTTGTAAGATGATCACCGCAGGTCCCTAAACTTTTAAATGTGGTCTAACCTACTCTATAAGCTGGCGTGGCACGCTGATTGTGCGTTGTGTTAATTAATAAATCATTATTTATATAATATTTATCATGAAAACATAAATTATATAAAATAATTTACATCAACAAATATATTAGGTTTAAACTAAAATAGAACTATACTAAAATTAATTTAATATTTATGTATCATTAATAGTATTAAAATAATATTAAAATTCCTATAGTATTTAAGTTTTCTCTATTAAAAGTAACTTCTAATTTTAGTATTATTTTAAAAGTTTTCATAGCAGTATTATAGAAAGTAACTTTTCTGTATTATTAATATCATAATACTATAATACTATACTACTCACTACTACACAAAAAGTTTTACAAGGCGTTTCCAAAATGGCCTCTGAGGCGGGCTGGCCGGTTGCCCACCTCGGTTATTCGTGGCAGGGCAACCGGCCCAACAACCACCTCAGTTAATGCTTAACCGAGGCGGGCAATATAACAGAACCGTCTCGGTTAATGTCTATTAATCTAGGCGGACATCCTAAGACAACCACCTCAGTAAATCATTAACCGAGGCGGGCATTCTAATTCAACCGCCTCGGTAAATCAGGCCCAGCCACTAGCCCACACCAGCCCACTACCATCGCCTATATATAAACGAAATCAGAAACCCTAACACCCACTCTCCCTCTCCTCCCTTTTCCGCAGGTCGTGCCCTTCTCTCTGCGGCGCGCTCGGCACCACGACACCGACTTCCCTCTCCTTCCCTCACGACCTCCTCCATCTCTCGACGGTGCCCCTTTCCTCCACTGTGGCTCTCACCCCCACCGCTCCCCCATAGCGCCCCTCTCTCCCACGGCGTGGCCTCCCTCTCCATCCCTCGCCATGGCGTGAGGCCTCCCTCTCCCTCCGACGAGCAGAGCAGCGGCGGATCGGGCGGCTCCCTCTTCTCCCTCCCCTAGCTCCGTGGATCCGACGGCGGCGTGCACGAGAAGGCCAGATCCGGCGGTGGGGAGGCCAGATCCGGAGTCAACTCCCTCTTCTCCCTCTCCGACGGGCGCGGATCAGGCGGTGACTCGTCGCGTGGAGGCTGGATCCGGCTTCTCTGGCGGCGGATCGGGCGGCGGGGAGACGTGGAGGCTGGATCGGCTTCGGCGGTGGGGAACGCGTGGAGACTGGATCCGGCTTCCCCGGCGGCGGATCGGGCGACGGGGAGCACGTGGAGGCTGGATCCGGCTTCTCCGGCGGCGGGGAGTGTGCAGGGGCGGCGGCGGGGAGCGTGCAGGGGCAGCCGTGGGGAGGCCCTGATCCAGGCCTAGTGTGGTTGTGGCTTTTTTCTTTTCTTATTTTTTTAATTTGATTTACCGAGGCTTGCCCGCCTCAGTAAATACCTGATTTACCATGACCTTTTGGCTATGGCGGTTGTAATGCCCGCCTCGGAAAATCATTTTTGCCCGCCTCGGTTAAGATTTCTGTAGTAGTGACTTTTGATAGTAGTATTATAGTATTAGAACTTTAATAATAGTATTATAGTATTAAAAGTTCTAATAATGATGTTATAGTATTAATAACAGAGAAAAGTTACTTCTATAATACTACTATTAAAACTTTTAAAATAATACTAAAATTAGAATTAATTTTTAATAGAAAACTTTTAATACTATAGGTAACTTTTAATATTATTACAGTTGGACATGGATGACAGCGCTCACCAAGTTTAAGGACCTACGATGATCACCTTAAAAGTTTAGGAATCGGAATGATACCGTCAGCCAAGTGCCCAAATTTAGAGACATGCGGTGATCACTTTAAAAATTTAGGAACATAATTTAGAACCACCTATATCAATTTAGAAATTCAGGTACCGAGCTCACACTGCCGGCGTTCCCGGCGGTGAATTTTGCTCAGCATTCGTCGCTGAGTAGGCACACACCGCCCACAGGCTACGCAGGCGGACAGCGAGTCATCGACCCACCTGCTGGCTACGTACATTTATGCGGCTTTCTGTATTTAAGGCCCGCGCTACCTGGCCTTCCTCATCAGCCTGGGCATTTTTTTACCGGAAACCGAAAACCGAACCGAACCGAACCGAAACCGAACCGAATAGTCGGTAGTTCGTTTTTCGATTCGATTCGATTTTTTCAGCATGAAGTTCGGTGTTCGCTCGGTTTAGGTTTCACACACGACATACCACAGGCGAAAAACCGAACTAAAAGCAGGCTGTTGTACAAGAAACCAACTAAATCGAAAAACCAAACTTAAAATGTGTTGTAACCTGCTGTTGCGAGAAACCGAACTAAAAACATTTCAATTGTAAATCGCGATATTTTTTTGCATGTTTATTCGGTTTTAAGAAAAACCGAACTAAAAACCGAACCAAAATTGGTCGGTTTTGAAATTTTAACAAACCGATCGGGGTACCGAAACCGAATTTTGAAAAACCGAACCTTCCTCAACTCGGTAAAAACCAACAGGCTGACTTCCTCAACTCCAAACCAACGCCTCCCATAAATCCAACCAACACTCCCTCCCGGCCCTCTGCCCAAGAAGAACACCAGCAATCAAGCCCTGCAGGCTGCAGCCATGGCGGCGCCATCATCATCGCCGCCACCACGGCGAACCGCCCTACCGCTGCTGCTGCTGGTGTCTCTCCTCCTCCTCTCCGTCGTCGCCGGCCATGCGGCAGCAAGAGTAGCGGCGGCGGCGGCTGAAGCGAGATCGAGAAGCCAAGAGCAGTATAGAGATGTGGTGAGTCGTCGTTAAGCCTACCATTACCAGCCTAGCTAGCTTATGTTTCACGCAGGCACGGTCATGGCACGCGTCGAGAAGAATACATGCATGTTATTAGCATTTTCCTATAGCATGTGCAATATTGTGTTGACATTCATTTAACCAATATGTAGGTGTACGAGGAGAAGGCGACGAGCTTCGCAGGGGGCGACGAGCGGTGCGGCGGCGGCGCCGGAGGGGGAGAAAGAGAGGACGAGGAGTGCCTGATGAGGAGGACGCTGGTGGCGCACACCGACTACATCTACACCCAGGGAGGAGGCCACAACTAGCTAGGTACAGCTCGCAGTAGCAGCTAGGACTAGCACACACCTCAGATCGATCATCGATGCTCCAGTCGGTTTCAACTGCATGCACGGTAGAGATGATGCCAGCCTTCCATTCCATCCATTGTCGACTACATTATTCATGGCAGCAGCATCATGATCCATGGAAACTAAAGGTTGTAATGCTCCGGAGTATTGCGCGGCCGGCTCTGTTGTGTTATTGAGTGAGTATGTATGTAAGCTTTTCTTTGAATTGGTTCAGTTGATTGTTGGTGTTGTTGATTAATTCTACGGCCTGTTCGTTTGGCTGGGCTGGATCGTTGCTGATTCGTGAATAAATACTGCTGTCTGGTTTGGTGTGAGAGAAAAATACTGTTCCGACTAGAAATTTACGAGTACGAGTTTTGCAGTTGGTGAACGAACGAAATGAACTTGCTGCTTCGTGGTTAATTTCTTGTCTAGTTGTCTGGGGCAGGACAGGAGGCCCTACTCCGGCTGACTCTTTTGACTCTTGACCCTTGAGTAGCAACACGGCAAGGAATCTTCTGGTTGTATACTCCCTCCGTACTAAAAGAAATGAAGTTTTTTTTTTACAATGTTTGATCAAACATTGGGAATATAAATCATGAATAACTTTTAAGTTGTTGAATTTGAAAATGTGAAAAGCATATGTATAGATTTGTCTTGAAAAATACTTTCACAAAAAATTACATATATCACTTTTTGATAAATATCTTAAAAAAAAAGTAGTCAAGATTATGCTTTGAAGACCGTGTCGCTGTCCAAAACGACTTCATTTTTTAGCATGGAGGAAGTAGTACAACACACATGGGGATGTTTAGTCCCACTGCCAGTGGCTGCATGATTATTGCTCTCGACGCACGGCCCCGAGTCGTCCCTACGAGCTCCACTACTGTTTTACTACTACTGACGATATGAGATACGCGTTTATGAATTTGACTGGCCATGGCCATCTGCCCATCTCATTCTCGCCTGAATATAAGTTTAGGCGGTTATTAGGCAGATGATTTGTTGAGTCGTCGTCCCAAGTTTGTCAGGGTCTCTTCTGAACATAGAGAGATCCAAGTCGAACAAGCACACAGCCAATTCCAATTTTGATACGACGAAATGGTGTATGTATCTTTTTTCGAATGGTCGAAATGGTGTATGTATCAATGAGTGCTACGATAGTTCATAAATCATAAGTATGTCAACATGTTGTTAACTAGCCTTTTGGGGCCTGAAACAAATTTAAACGAGAATCAGCATTCCCAAATTGAAATGCCCAGGCTCAATGGTGTAACACAGAACCATGGAAGACCAACCATCAATCAAACACATCTCTCAACGTCATAAGATATTTTCTCAGCATCAATCTGATGCCACCAACAAGCTGCCCTTAAAATGCAGGCAAGAGGCAGCAGCAGCAGCAGTACAATCCTGTGACTCTTGTATGTCCCATGTGCCATGTTCATGCATGGTACGAGTTGACTTACGACCTCATGAGCGGACAACAAGGTAGACCCCACACCTGACGTCTATGCCTCACCTAATTCATTTCATTTTGTTTTCTTTCCGATACCAATCCAACTTGCTGATCGCTGGATCAAGCGCATCTAATTCATCATCCAGCTTCGTTAAGCTACCAATCAAGTGCGCACCGGCCAATAATGGTTTCGCCGCCACAAGATTTTTAATTGGTTGCAAATTAAAACTAGGAAAGGATGCTTCGTTCTGCTTCTGCCGGAATTTCTGGTGTGTGGCCAAATTCTGCCTAATTTCTGGTTGTTCTCCTTTACCAGGTCACGTTGAGTTTGGATACTTCTTGAATATACTCCGTATATCATACATGAAGCTTTGTCCGTTGACATTTTGTTGGTGTATACTCACTCCTGTAACAGGAGTCCTGTTGGCATGTGTAAATGGTCAAACTGATGGTGCCTACTGAGTATGCACTCTCCCTCTGATACGTGGTCATATATGACTTTGCACGGTCTTTGATACGTGGTGACTATTCATTTCTTCTAGAATATTTTAAATTTGTGTGATTTCTGAAAGTGTATTTGAATACAAATCTACACATATAGTCACATTTGAAAGTTACTAACGTTTGTAGTTATTATGGTTTGACGAAAACTTGTCTTAAACGACCGATAATAGTTTATAATATTGAGTTAAACAATATGGGTCAAATCATCATAAAAGCAGTTTCATAATAGTATAATTACTTGTTTCAAAAAAATAGTATAATTACGTTATGTTCTGTATATAAATAATAACATTGTGGGTCAAGTTATGTTTTGTAGACCGCATTAATTTCCAAAATACTAATAATATAATCATACTACTTTCTGTTCTGTGTCACTGTGTGTGAGCTGGAATACTTGCCCCCACTATAACATAGCCAAATTGGTCCTCACCAGCATTGTTCAGGGGTACATGTTGGAGAAATCATATCATTTTTAGTCAAACCATCGAACAACCTAGACTGTACACACTATACAATTTTCACTAATATACTGCATGCTTAGATCAGTAATTTCCAACCAGAAAAGGGAGGACTCGTGGAGACCCATGCTTTCCACTAGGCACAGAGAGGACAGAAGTGACGCAAATTCTGAAACAGTGGGAGTGGATCACAAAATCCCCATGAGAACACATATTGGACACCCAACCAAGATCATTGTATCGAATTGTATAATGGAATAGGAAGCACAAATTAAGCAGTCTGATCAAGCCTGCTATTGATGTCAGGCCGCATCATCATCTTCCTCCAGATCACTGAAAGATACATCTTCATCATCTGCTATTGGAATTTTTGTGTTTCCTGGGTCACCTGTCTCCTCTTCTTCCAGCCATTCATCCCCATCGTCATCTTCGATGTCACCATCCTCAACATTATCAGTTTTCTGAATGTCAACTCTTGATTGCTCACTGATGTCAGCCAGTGGTTGTTTCTGTTGATCATCTTTAGGGGGAGAGTTGTCCGTCAATGGTATCTCAGACATTTGCACAGTCTGTTCTTCTTTTGCTGCATCTTCTGTAGAGAGATTGCGTGTGCTTTCTTCCATCCTAGATAGTGTGACCACGGTAGTGTTCTTCAATATGGGCACTAGCTGTACAGGTACACTGCTGCTCATATTATTTGAAGAAACAGCTCCAGTCTCGCTGATTGTATCATTTGATAGAATATCCTGTTTGATTGGTTGTGGATTGCCATAGTCTATGTTGCTAAAAGATGTGAGCATCGCGGAGTCATCTTGGCCCTTCAATACACCCAAAACCTCTACAGGAGAACTTAAAACACCATCTTCATTGCTGAAAGGCACAGGTACAGTGTCCCCATAGCTGCCTTGTAACTTCGTCCGATACTGCAAATCGTGTGACAACTTGTCTCTAGCTTCCAAAATCTGTGCCAAGGCAATCAGGAACTGATAAGAAGTCTGCTAGCAAACAATGTCTTGAGCTGGCAGATACCAGCTTATCTTTTGTGCAGTCAGCACAAATAAAAAGGTCTGTTGATACATCATAACTAGAAAGAAAGCACAATCATCAGCAGAAACTATTAAAGCATTGAGAGCCTATGGAAAATGATGTTCTATCAATATATCTGCCTCTCAAGACTCATGCATGCATCTGAGGGCTAAAAAGTGTAATGAATTATTCAAACATAGGAGCTAATCATTTTCATCATATTGCACTTTATGTCCCATGGGCCATGGCTTTTGTTGAGTCAATATTCAATTGATGCCTAATTCTGACTGTTTGCTATTTGACATGTTTCCGCTATTCACTTCATCATATGGCACTTCAGAGTTCAGACTCATGCAAAGCATCATTCTGGGAACAAAATTGTACTAAGGAAGAAACTGAATCAATAGAAATACAGTAACAAATAAAACTGGACAAAGCACTCAGTTATTATAGAAAATTAGTAGAATATAACAAACCACTTGAGGTGTCCAGAACAAGCTAGTCCCATTCAAACTAGGGATGTATTTGGATGGCTAACCCATCATGACTTGCAAGAAAGAAAATTTAATATAAACTACTAAAGCATCAGAAACATTAGACTTTCTGTCAATATATCAGTATCTAAAGCATAGATTCCAGGGAGGATAACAATCACAACGAATCAATTTAGCTATAAATTATGGTGAGCCAATTTCAAACTGTTGGCCTAGTGCAATGTGATTTAACTCCACTCCCTTGGAAGAGCAAAGGAAAAAAAAATGCAAATTAGTTTCACTTTTAGGCAGGAGGAAGGGAATGTAGGAAGGTTTCACTAGCTTAGATGACATGAATGAGGTGTTGGATTCGGATTATAATCCACTGCATTTGTGACACTTTGATAAGTAAAGGCTTCATGATCTTATCCGACAAAAAGGATAGGTTCCATGGCAGGCACAGAAGCACAAAGCTTGAGAATGTGCATAAGTGTGCCGCATGAGGCTATGATTAACCAATATATTTTTATGATTTTTGAAAATCGAAGAAATTAATGTTTTGAAATCAAATTCCAGAGTGAGGTCAAAGTGTCAAACTAATGATCAAGTTTCAGATAGAACATTAGGTAATGTAAAGAGGGGACAACATAAATATGGCAATGATATATGGACCAGTTTACTCAAACAGTAGGTCATTTCATTTCAAGAATGCAAGTGCCTAGCCTTGCACAGATCGCTCACTCATTCTGAAACCATAACTATGATGCAAAGTTTTTTTTTGGGTAAAAACACAAATTGCTTATTTACATTTTGACAATATTCTCATGGATACTATCGCAGTTCTCAAACAAGCATGATTGCCTTACCAGGACACAAAACCTTTAGGTGCAAGATATACCAAATCAAAGTGCAAAGCAATCACAAGCACTTAAGTTTCTTGCCACCGCAATATTCCATGATTCCAAATACAATGTAGCAAATATCAAAATGTGAAACACAATACAGTCTCAATTTAATAACTAATCTGATCCAGCATCTGATTCACATGACTTTACTCACCTCAGCTAACAAATTTTAGGCTGATATTGGTCCAAGGTGAACTTTACTACTGAATCATCAAAGACAACTAACTTAGTTAACTAGCATGAAGGAAAATCCTCAGGTACTTAGTACTTAGTGAACTTGTATTACTAACTCGTTTAAGTGTTGAACTTAAGATGTCAAGGAAAATCACCTGTGGAGTGGATAAAATCTCAGCATCATGCTTCCTGAGCTTAGGATGCAGCAGCACGAAGTATATCTTCCAGAAGCAGCCCTCGCTCATGTGGCTGGGGCAGAGCTCGATCCTCAGATCAGCCAGCTCGGGCGCCAAGCTTTCCACGGCCAGGGCGTGATCTTGCTGCGCATCAGTCATGTCAAAATCTGCACTTCAAGTCAACAATGCAACTGACAATTAGTTCATCTCAACCGACACCGATGAAGAAGAGCCTCTGGGGGAGGCAAGAAAGGATAGCACGAAGCCACGAACCATCGGAGTCGGCGTCGTCGGGGAGGAGGGGGAAGTCGAGCCACAGCTCGGGCCGCGAGGCCGCGTCCAGCGCGAACGCGACCACCTCTTCGGTGACCCCCGCTGCCGCCTCCACCCAGTCCGCGTCGCCCTCAGGCGGCAGCAGCGAGGACGCGATCTTGGCGAGATCCGCTACGGCCTGGCGGCCCGGGAGCCGCGCGAGGCCTGCGCGGAACCGCCCCGCGATCTCGGCCGGGTCCGGCCGGCGCATGGCGCCTCCGCCTCCAGCCGCCGGGGGAGCGAGGAAGGAGGCGATGCCCTGTAAGCGGTTCGCGAGCGCGCCGGTGAGCTCGGAGAGGTCCTCGCGGACGCCGCGCGGGGGAGAGGATGAGCCCGGGGAGGCCGAGGGGCCCGGGTCGCTTGCTTCGGGTTCGTCCTCAGTAGCGAGGAGGGAGTTGGCGATGGAGCGCGCGAGCCACGCCATTGCCGGCGGCGGCGGCGGTGGTGCGGCCGGGCGGGAGCGGAGGGGAAGGTAGCCTTGTGTCGTGTGTTCCCCTGTCACTGTCGAGTGGGCCCGGTAGTTGAGGATTACGTCGCCAGGACAGGAGAACACGCGAATGTCTTAACTGCACGTTCGATGAAGCAAAGCGTAAACCCCCAATATAAGCCTATATCAATTTTGTATATAATAATTTCTTAAATAATCGACGGTACATAATTTATTTCTGTATGCGTTGCTCTTTTGTACATTGTTTGCTTGAACTGTGATGCGTCGAGATACTGCTATTTGTACGTAGAGCAGACGGGAAGGTAGCCTTGTTTGCAGTGGCACTACGACGGCCTTCTCGGTGTGTTTCTGACAATTAAGGGCTACAACTCGAGTCTTTAACAATAACTTGCACGTAATTTGAGGGCGGGATTGGCTTAATGTCACAGCGACGGTTGGATCTAGATATCAGTGGTTATTATATTGGTACCCAGTAGACCTTTGGTTGTTGGTGGCTCACGGGTTGGCGGCGAGTTTTTATTTTGGTAGTTTGTTGTTGCAGTGGTCATAGGTGATTTAGAGTTTGTGATGGCTCATGGTGCGTAGTTCGTATTGTTGTTTATTTGATCGGTGAGTGAGTTAGAGTTATTATTGTGGTTTTTTCTTATAGGTAGCCGTCTTCCATTTCTTCTATATCAATAATAAAAATATCCAATATTAATGCTAATGAAAATATCAACAATGGTTCCCTCCTATTTCCACAAGTTCCACCAGCTTCGAGCCCTTTACTTTTCAATTGAAATCCGCCACCAAGGTCATTCATGAATATCCACCAACACATTAAGTTTTCAATCTTATAAACACAACCCTGCCAATTCCGTTCACCGTATGCTTAGCGAGCAAATGATGAAAAAATTCTCTAAACATATTGATGGCAAAATAGAATGACATAAGAACATAATGTAGGCACAGTAGGAATAAGTGTGAAAATCGAAGACTCCCAACCATGTGAATTTGGTGTTGAAGAAGAAAACATTAAGGCCTCGTTTGGTTCTTGGGAATGATTCGAGGCAAAATGTTCCTAGGAATGGTTCGCTAATTTCAATAACGATCAAGCCAGAACGGTAGGCGCGAAACAACCTATTCTAGGCTGAACGAGGCCTAGACATTACTCCTTCCGTCTATATTTAAGTGTTGTCGTCGTGGTGGGAATCGTGACAGTCAAATTTTCTCAAGTTTGTTTATTTTTAAAAAAATATTAGCAACATTTTATTTCCAAATAAATTTATTATGAAAATAAATTCAACGATCTATTTAATGATAAAAATTATATACTATAAATATTATCATATATATAATTAAATTTAAGCACGTATAACCTCTCCTGAAGTGAGAACGACGGACAAAGGGCAAGAGAGGAGTGTATTTTGCACTAATAAAACAGTACCAGCATGTACCCTAAGCCTACGGGCCCACTGGTCAAATCCAATCTCTGTCTGGAAGACTCATCCGGACCCTTTTCAACGGATCTCCAGTCCAGACACAGGCCTTCTTCTTCTCGGCTTCTCCCCTCCGCATCGCACACCACCGCCGCATTTCGCCTAGCCGCCGGCGCTGGAACCCCTCCCCGACCTCGCAGCTAGGGATCACCGACACGGCCCCTACCGCGCTGCCATGGGCCAGACCCCGCTGCCGGCAGGAGCATGGAGCAGCCATCTCCCCCGATAGATCTAGCGGGCCAGCCGCCGGAGTGAGCGCCGGTGAAGGGCGTCGGCACGGTCCAGTCTCGCCTGCTTCCTCGACCCCCGTTGCCGGATCCTCAACCGGGCCGCCCCCAAATGCTTGCTCAGATCCCCCGATTTCTCTGGCATTCCAAACCCTAGCCCTCCCACGCTGGTATGATATTTCCCTTATTCTGGCTAGATTCATATGTGTTTTTTGTTGGCCCGTTGGACTACATTCTTATGGGTATTGTGTCGCTTACATGGAGGAGCAGCAGAGAAGACCCGAGGTGCACATCGTTGCTCGCACGAGGAGTGTGCCCAGTCTCCCTTTCTCATTTGGTTCCGTTACGTGTTGATCCTATGCAGTCGTGTTTTCTACTGGGCTCTTCATTGTGTGATGCTCTGCGTATTAGTTTATATGGCTAGGGATCTATGGTTGCGTTGTTTATTAAGACGTTGGTTGTTTAAAAATGATGCACGTGAGATACCCACTGAATGACTGAACACAACTTTCCAGGTTTTGCTCGTAGTGCGATTTGGTGATGTTAGGCTTATATTATATCTCAGCCCCTGCAGAGCCAAATAGATTATACTTCTCTGAGACAGAAGTCATTGCAAGAATATTGTGTGGGGGTGATTTTCTTCATGTGTGATGCAGTTGCCCCTTGTGGTACCATGTCCACTGGTGAGATGTATTTGGGAGATTGCACTGTGCCCAGTTTCTTGATCCACCACTTAAACCAATTCCCTACACCAAGGTGCAAAAAGCTCCTCATTCAGTCGGAGCATCCAGCCACCAAGTTTCCCCTGATTGTATCTTCTTCGTTAACACTTGTCAACCAGCACCACACCCTCTGATCTTTATACCAAGAATCTCAATGAAATTGAGGTGTGGGAGGAGGGAAGGGAAGCTGCTACTATGGGTGCTGACGGTATCTTGCTGCACTACAGCTGAGAAGGAAAATACAGCTGAGAGGAGAAGATTGTATTTAGAGATTGACATATGGGCCCCACCATTTTTTTTGACAATTTTTTTTGAACATTATGTGTCTTTGCCTATTGGGTTGACATCACATCCTAAAAACAGTCCATTTTAGTTCCACCCTGGATTAAAACCAGAGTGCAACGGCCTCGAGTGGTTAAAATGTCCAGCATTGACTAGTGAGGACTGAGGACTAGCTTTTTCTTTCCTCCTCAAAAGAATGTAGCTGAGATTGCCTATTCTATTCATGTTTCAAATTCATTTTGTTTTCTGCTTGCTATAATGCATTTCATTTGCATATTATTCTTACAGTGTTGCTTGTCCTCTGTGTTTTCCTTTTTTTCTGCAGAAACAGCATCCATGCACAACACCTGATAGATTGAATGCCCCTGATGAAGCAAGTTCTTCCAGAAACAGGGATGTTTGCCTGTGACGGTGAGGAGAGTAACCCTGACAGGATCAGTGACCTACCGGACGAGTTGCTGCTCCATGTCATGTACTTCCTAACACTGCAGGAGGCAGTGCAGACAAGTCTGCTGTCACGGAGGTGGCAGAACCTCTGGGCATCTTTGATGTGGCTCTACACCGATGCGGCCAAGTTCAGCAGCATGGGAACTTTCAAGAACTTTGTTGACAATTTGGTCATGTACCGAAACTCTTTGCCGGAGCCAGTGCCACTGGATGCGTTTTTTATGTCTGCCATCTGCAACAACTCCGATGATTCCCTTGAATATTCTGACATCCATCCATGGATTCGCCATGCCCTTGATAGCAATGCCTGGGCTCTAGGCATACTGAAGCATTCTGGCCCCAAGCCCCTTTCTATAGAGGGTTTTATCCTTCCCATTCACCTCGGTGCACTTGAAAATTTTAGGCCTTAGCCATTTTTCGGTAGATGACTGCTTTGTCCAGAACCTCTCCATCTGCTGCCCAGTGTTAGACGATCTAGAGTTGACAAGTTGTGCCATCCATGTCACCATGATTTTTGTCAACTAGTTTGAAGAGTTTGACCATTACCAGTACACAGAATGATGAAGATGTTCCTGGAGAGTTTCAGTATCTTGTGATACATGTGCCAAACATAGTCTCCCTGAGACTAGAAGAGATACCTAGAAGAACTATTCACCTCGCGGATGTGTCATCAGTGAGAACAGCCTCAATTTACTTTTTTTCACTCTCCCTAACCCTCAGATTCCCTGCAGTATTATTAGTGCTCTGTCAAATGCCATGGACTTGACATTGGTATCTCCATCTGTCTTTGAAGATGTACGCCATCTACTTTAGATTTACTTTTGCTCCAATGTACCATTTTTGTGTATCTTTTGAAACTTTTCTGGACCTGTTTTCAGGTGGTGCCAAAGGTATTACAGCGTGATCTTCAAAGGTGCAAGACATTCAGCTACTTGAAACGGTTGCATCTTGGCGAGTGGTTTCTGCATGGTGGGTGCTATCTACTAATCTGCTTTCTTCGGCACTCGCCTGGTATAGAAAAAGTTGTCCGGCAACTTGACGAGGCAAGATATACTACCCCCCTCTTCAATGAGGTTTCTGCTTATTAATTGAATTTAATAATGGTTTCTTTCATCTACCAGAGTGGAGATGATGACTATGAGAGGCTTCCAAATGCTGATGCTGAAATAGATCATCCTTGCGTGGAAGCAGTAAAAATGTTTAGTTGTGAAAAACTTAGAAAAATCACAATCCACTGCGACCCACAGAATGATAAAAGAGCCCAGATCATCGTGCGCATCTTATCAAGGCATCTTTGCCCTCTCCCTAATATCAAAATCAAGCCCATTAAAATTCAGGTTTAGGATGGTAAGTTCCTTAAAATCCTCCTTGCACGCTTGCAGAATTGTGAAATTTACACCTTGCTTGCCTAAAATTGAACTAGCTATCTATGTACCAAGGAAATTGACAAATGTCATTGTTATATTTATGTGTTGTTGCAGGTGATATGCATTTGGTGACCTGGTAGATATCTGGCCATGGATTAGAGCTTCTGGCACTTGGAGCTGCATTGATGACGGTACTTGTTATTTGGCAATTGCAACTGCCTGTACACCAAACTGATGTCTTTCTTTAGCGTTTTGCTTGCTACCATTATGATTTCGCTGACCTTTTTGGTGTAAAGCTTTTCTTCGCGGTATTGTGGTGCATAACACTTGTCTGGTAAACCATGCTGCGATTCTGCGTTTGGTAAAATGGTCCATGCCGTTCTTCCAGCTTGATTTTTTTTGTCGTGCTTGTGCTTGTGAAGTGGAAAGAAATGTGCATTGAGATTGTTGCATATCTTTTCACCATGACTCTGGATCTCAGGATCGAAGGTTGGGAAAATCTGTGCCCTGTTTTCCTTTCGATTATTGAACTATGGTTCTCTCAATTTGCCTGTCTGCAATTTGTTCCATGGGCTGAAAGACTAAAAGGGATGGGCAGACTACAGAAATACAGATCATGCCATTACTACAAGGGATGGGCAGGCGACATTTCCTTGGTCGATACAAGAATATTCAGTAGTACTGAAGTGTATCCCAAGCTCCACAACATTTCAGAGCGTGTTTAGTTCCCCGAATTTGGGAATTTGGGATACTGTAGCACGTTCGTTTTTATTTGACAAATAGTGTTCAATCATGGACTAATTAGGCTCAAAACGAATATCCGCAATTTCCAAGTACTGCAATTAGTTTTTTTTTTTTTCGTCTATATTTAAAGCTCCATCGTAAAATTCATTGGATCAGAACTTTTTGGATTTCGACCACGCCCTCAGTCGACAAGCTATTCGCTGTCGGCTGCTATCCTGTCTCTTTCAGTATATCTGAACCGCCCTACTGCACTTTTTCCATATCTGAACCGTTGACTTCTGCTGCAGACTTTGCATCTGCCAAGCCATTGCGGGACATGTATGGAGTATTAAATGTAGACGAAATCAAAAATTAATTGCACAGTTTGATTGTACTTTGCGAGACGAATTTTTTAGGTCTAATTAGTCAATGTTTGATAATAATTCACAAATACAAACAAAATACTACGATGGGAAATCTTGCACTGTGCAAACTTTGCACTTCCCAAGTTTGACCGACTAAACAAGGCCCAAGCAAATTGCAAGACGTTAACCTGTCAACGTCACCAGTTGCAGCCAGGCAGTATGGTCTAACCTCTTGTTAACAAGGCGCCAGTTTGACTCGAACTCTGGCCTGAGCCCCATATAGAGCCTCGTCCGCGATCAAGAACTGTGCACGCCGATGCTGCGTGCAACGGCAACGGCCTCTTCTTTGCCCACCGCTGTATGGTGTACAATTGTTTAGGACACACCGACGACGACGACACCTTGCATGTCAGAATAATACTTCGTCCGTTTCTTTTTATCGGTCGTTGTCACTTCCCAAGAATCAAACATACTAAAAAATCAATATTTATAGTATAATTAGTATCATTAGATAGATTGTTGAATCTATTTTCATAATAAAGCTGTTTGCAAATATAAATGTTGCTAATATTTTATACAAACCTACTTAAAGTTGATAAAATTTGACACGTATGTTTCCCATAGTGACAAATATAAAGGGACACATGGAGTATATCTAGAGTCCTAGTGTGGGGAGGAGAAATCTTTGGTAACCATTAGTTATTAAATTAAACAAGAAAAGAAACTGAGAGCAGAAAATGTTTGGTGGCCTTTGAAAAAGGGTGCTCTGAGACCTGTCAGAACTTGATCGGTTGCTTGGGCGTTGATTGATTCTGACCAAGGCAATATCGCTAGTTTTTGCGCTCTCGGGCCCCGGCGACAAGCTCAACAAAATTTGTGCTTAAAAAGAACATATAAGGGTTTTTTGACTACTTCGCTTCATGTTTTTCAGTTCCACCTTACATTTTTTTAGCTAAACAAGTTTAGCTCCATACACTCTGTTTAAGTAAAAATGATAGAGTTGTAAGAACACATAAAGGGACCGGTCCTTCATAAACTCCATGTATTTTTTTTGAGCTATACGGTAAAGTTTGTAGAGCTTAAGTCTGTGGAGCAATCCAAACGCCCCTTCCACTCTGCACTCTCCGGTCTCCGTCCTCATCCTCAAATGAGCATTAAGGTTCAGTTTGCCTCCTTGTCGGGCACCAATCACAAGGCACATTTGACGTTGTCGAGCACAGAAGCGCGTATCGATCAGGAGAAGGACCGCGTCCACTTGCGCTGTCTTGTACTCCTAAAACGTTTCGTAAGCAATGTTTGAATAATTTATAATAATACTCTCCTATAGTATAATTTTGCTTCATATGACAATCGACGCAACCTTTGAAGCCGGCAATGGCTATTGGCTAGCCTATACTTTGTGTGGTCGATGTTCGATGACCATACAATACACCAATGTGACGTGAGTCGTGCTAGACGATCGATGGCTTGCATGAGCGTCAAGTTGGAATATTTTTAAGTCTGCCTACTCACCATTCGGTTATTCTGTTGTTTGGTATCAACCGGTTGATACAAAAGCACAAAACAACCGAATTCTACCAATTCACTAAATTGGTTGTTTTTCGTAATAACCGAATGTTTGAAACCCATAAAACAACCGAATGCAAATGAAAACAAAAAACGGTTGTTACAAAACAAAAGAAACAACCACATTAAAAATAAACAAATCAGAAACTAAAAAGCCACAAATAATTCCGGAAAAAACTGATGTCAAAAAAAAACAGAAAAAAACAAAAAAAAAATCTAAGCGATTAATTGCTGAAAAATGTTAAAAAAAATTCTGCAAAACAAAGATTATTTGCAAAAATAAAAACATAAATACAAATAAAACACATGGATTCCATAATCAATATCTGCATGGTACACCTAATAGGGATCAGAGCCACAAAAATTATAGTAAAAAAAGGATTTTATACATACAAACTTAACTTTACAAAATTGAACAGCTGTAACTAAGACAATATGTAAAAAATTAAACAAACAGAAAACATAAAGAATGACTGCCTCAATGACATTGACAACATGGGAAAGCATAAATATACATAAACAATAACGGAAAAAAAACTATATATAAATATATAAAAACAAAGTAGCAGTTTAAATATTACAATAATATAGAAATTCAGGTTCAAACAACCATTAAATAATAAGCTCAGATAAAAAAACGGAAATGCTATGACGCGTACGTCCGACGCGCCGGACCCGCGTCCGACTACCATTTGTGACTTCACCGACCGCGCCTCGTCTTATCCGCCCGCCCGACGCCACTTCACTTCACCCACTCCCCCCGTACTCACACTTCACCCGCTCCACCCGCTGCCCCGCAGTCGCACTCTGCCCGTTCCCCCGCCCTCGCTCTCTCCTGCACTCGCTCTCCGCGTCGCTTTCCTGCCCACTCTTCGCGCTGTCGCCGCGTAAGCTCCCTCCCTCCCTCCGTCCCTCGGTCCCTCGCCTCTCCACGACCTCCCTTCCTCCCTTCGCACGTGAGCTCGCTGCGCCCGCGCCCGCCCGTGCTCCCTTCCTCCCTCCGTCCCTCGCCCTCCATGACCTCCATGCACCCCCACTCTCCCTACGACCCGGCTCCCGCACCCCACCAGAGACGAGGATGACGGCGGCGGCTCCGACGAGGTAGGTTGCGGAGGGATCTGGATCTGAGGCCTTGCTCCTCCTCCTCTAGATCTGGATCTGAGCCCTCCTCCCTCCTCCTCCTCTGGATCCTCCTCCTCCTCCTCTGGATCTAAGGGATGCGGCGATGGCTAGGGTTCCAGTGAGCTCTAATGGGGGGATGATATTCAGATGATAATCTTGCTTGAGATATTGCAGTATGTTTCAGTTGCTTCAATCTCATGTTGCAGTAGTTGTTCCATGTTGTTGCAAGTGTTTTTATTTCGAGCGTTGTTTCATATGCTTCACACCAGTGTTGCAATAATATGTTCCAAATGTTTCAGCTCCTTCAACCTATTTGTTGCAGCAGTTTATTCGGTGTTGTTGCAATAATATATTCCAAATGTTTCAGCTCCTTCAACCTATTATTGCAGTAGTTTGTTCCGTGTTGTTGCAATAATATGTTCATGGTGTTTCAACTGCTTCAGCCTAATGTTTCAGCTGCTGTTCCTTTGTTGTTGCAATAATATGTTCATGGTGTTTCAACTGCTTCATCCTAATGTTGCAGCTGTTGTTCCTTGTTGTTGCAATATATATGTTCATGGTGTTTCAGCTGCTTCAGCCTAATGTTGCAGTAATTGTCTTCCGTGTTGTTGCACGTGTTTTATTCTAACTTTCTATGTTGTTAGGCCGGGGAGGGGCGAGCCGGGACGGACTGGGGCGCGTGGTTCGCGGGGGCCTAAGCGGGCGGAGGTGTTGGGGCCGACGGACGTGGGGTGCTGTGGCCGTGGGGGCGCTGGGCATGTAGCATGCTCGTCGCGGGCGTGGGGCGGACGCGATAGGCTATGGGGGTGATGTGGGGGCGTGCGGACTTGCACAACACAAAGTCTAGCGGGCTCTTCGTAGACATCGCAGGTCGCGGGTTCGTCGGTGTTAGTTGGGTTCTTCGTTCGACGAAGACGCAGTAGCGGCAGTTCGCGCGGGTGCGCGATCTCAGGGCGGCGGCGGCGGTCCATGCTGCTGCCCCGGCCTCGTACCATCGACCAGCGGGTCCGCTCCTTGCGCGCGTCACGGGAGGCGTGCAGGTAGCGTGCGGTGCGAAACTGAAAAGGAGGAGGTGCGCTAAGAGAGTGCGTCCACATAACAGTCCGATGGATCCGTATCCATCGGACGTTCAGGCGCCGGTGCTTCCCAAAAAAAAATGCCGGCTGCTTGTCGACCTGTGTCACGCGTTGGCCATGTCGCAGCGGCAGAACTAGCAGATTTGCGGGGTGACGCTCCCGGACGTCCCGGCCATCCTGGACGGCCTCCGCGCCGTCGACCTCACCAATCATACGGCTCAGAATCCGGTTGTTTTGAACTTCCAAAACAGCCGGTTAATGTATAGCATATTTGATTATATAAATAAACAATGCTCCAAAGAGAAAGAGGTCGGCCTTCTATACATCATGTTCGCTTGAGTTTATTATAGTTCTAGTGTAATAAGGCCTTAGTTCCTCCCTCGAAAATTACACCCTATTAAATCAAATGTTTGAACATATGTATAAAGTATTAAATATAGACTAAAAAGATAACTAATTGCACAGATTGCGACTACTTTGCGAAGCGAATCTTTTAAGCTTAATTAGCCCATGATTTGATAATAAAGTGCTACCGTAACACATGTGCTAATAAACGAATTAATTAGGCTTAATAAATTCGTCTCACGGATTACGAATTTTATAATTTGTTTTTTATTAGTATTTGAACAACCCATGCGACAACCACGTAGCAACCGACGTCTAGAACTTTTCGCTCAGGAACTAAGACCCCGTTTAGATACAAAATTTTGGATTTTGGCTCACTGTAGTATTTCGTTTGTATTTGGTAATTAGTGTCTAATTATGGACTAATTAGGTTCAAAAATCTCGCGTTGACGTTTCAACACGTATCGTGGCGGCTCAAAATTTTTCGAAATGGCCTAAATAAAATTACAAGAGCAGACTGTAGCTTTGACAAGTACAGCACTGAATTGTTGACGTTTCAACACGTCTCGTGGCGGCTCAGACCTCGCAATAGTGTCCGCAAGTAGGCCAGTTGACCGTTCTCCTGTCCCGTCACTATCATTGGATAATAATACAGTGAATCTCAGAGAAAATTATTTAAAAAAAAAATCGTTTCGGTTTCTTCGTTCACACTTCACATTAGTAGTATAGGAGAGTATATTTCTGTATTTCGCCCACGTTTTGAACTAGGCCTCTTGTCTGAGGATGCTGACTTTTTCCTAGCAATCTTGTTCGCTGGAAACCGATGAACTTTTCCACGGACGAAAAAAAAGTTCAACTCTGCACAAGCTTCACCGAATGCATTGTTGTACAGTCAGAAGCCCAAGTAATAAAGCTTGAGCAGAAACCAAGAACTCTGCAGGCAAGCCAACGACGCAGGCTGCTCGTGCAATGGCCTCGTCCCACGACCTCACCGCCATGCTCCTCTTGCTCTTCTCCATCCTCTCCGGCGTGTTGACGCCGCTGCAAGTCCAGGCGCAGCAGCCCTACGGCAGCCAGATCGCGGACTGCACTAACCAGCACAACTCCTCCGGCCTGCTCGGCTACTTCTGCGGCGCCGGCAGCGCGCCGTCGTGCCCGACCTTCCTCACCTTCACCGCGCGGGCGCCGCGCTCCAGCCTGGCCTCCATCGGGGCGCTCCTCGGCGCCGACCCCGCCACCGTCTTGGCGCCGCCCAACGAGCAGGCCGCCGCCGCTGGGGCGGATGCGGACGCGCCGCTCCCGGCGGGGACCCGGGTGCTGGTCCCGGCGGCGTGCGCGTGCACGGCCACGCCGGGCGACGGGCGGTTCTACCAGCGGAACGCCAGCACGTACGTCGCGGCCTCCGGCGACACGCTGCTCATCATCGCCAACGACACGTTCCAGGGCCTGACGTCGTGCCAGGCGCTGGAGGCGCAGGCGCTCCGCGGCGCGCCGCCGCAGAGCCTTAAAGCCAGCCAGCCCTCGCCCCCGTGCCGCTCCGCTGCGCGTGCCCGACCGCGGCGCAGGCCGCGGCGGGGGCCAGGTTCCTCGTCACCTACCTCGTCGACGTGTCCGACGAGCTCGCCGCCGTGGCCGCGCGGTTCGGGGTCGACGCCGCGACCGTCGCGGAGGCCAACCAGCTGCAGCCGCCGTTCACCATATTCCCATACACCACCCTGCTCATCCCCGTCGCCGCGCAGCCGAACGTGTCGCGCATCCAGACGCCGCCGCCGCCTCCCCCGCCTCCGCCGGTGGTTGCGCCTGCGCCGGGGAAGAAGAGCGGTAGCCGTGTCGGGGTCTACATTGGCGTTGCCGTGGCGGTGGTTGCCGTCGCTACGATTGCCTCTGCTGGAGCTTTCCTTGCCCTCAGGGCGAGGAGGAGGCGAGCCGGCGCCGTTCTAGCCGCCAGCGAAGTAGTGGCCAAGAAGGAAGGTAAGGCAGGCGACGACACGGCGGCGACGTCGTCGGGTTTCGGCGAGTTCTCCCTCTCCACCAGCGAGGCGTTCTCGAGCATTTCCGTGACGGACATCAAGTCGTCGCTGAAGGTGTACACCTACGCGGAGCTCAAGGCGGCCACCGACGACTTCAGCCCGGACCGCTGCATCGGCGGGTCGGTGTACCGCGCGGCGTTCAACGGCGACGCGGCGGCCGTCGAGGTGGTCGACCGGAACGTGTCAACGGAGGTGGATCTGATGCGGAAGATCAACCACCTGAACCTGATCCGCCTCATCGGCCTGTGCCACCACCGCGGGCGGTGGTACCTCGTCACCGAGTACGCCGAGCACGGCGCGCTCCGGGACCGCCTGCTCGCTGCCGCCACGGGCGCTGCAGCGCCGCTGACGTGGGCGCAGCGGGTGCAGGTGGCGTTGGACGTCGCCGAGGGGCTCAGGTACCTGCACGAGTACGCGCGCCCGCCGTGGGTGCACATGGACGTCAGCAGCGGCAGCGTCCTCCTGGCCGGCGACGGGCCCCGCGCCAAGCTCCGGGGCTTCGGCGCCGCGAGGGCCATCACGGGCGCCACCGCCGGGGCCGATGGGGAAGAGGAGGCGCTGTTCACGATGACAAGCCGCATCGCGGGGACGCGCGGGTACATCGCGCCGGAGTACCTGGAGCACGGCGTGGTGTCGCCCAAGGCGGACGTGTACTCGCTCGGCGTCGTGCTCCTGGAGCTCGTCACGGGCAGGGACGCCGAGGAGCTGGTGGGCGACGGCGTGGGCGACCCGTTCGTCGCGCTGCGCGAGCTCGTCGAGGAGCTCGACGGCGGCGGCGGCGCCGTGCTGCAGCGGCTGGAGGAGCTCGTGGACCCGGTGCTGCCGGCGGGGAGCTGCCCGCAGGACGCCGTGGTCATGGTGGTCAGGCTCATCGAGAGGTGCGTCAGGCAAGACCCGGCGCGCCGACCCACGACCGGGGCGGTGGCGCAGCGCCTCCTCAAGCTGTCGGGGGTCTCGGTGCTCAGCTGGCGGAACTCGCCGGAGTCGCCGCCCCGCAGCTCCGGCAGTGGAAAAGGCCTCATGTACTAGTAGAGTAGTAGCCAATGGCCATGCGTGCCATCGGACGCGAATTGTCAAGGTACCACAGAAAAATCTTGTGGTACTTTCACTTTTGAGTTGAATTTTGTTCACCACGAAGAAAAAAATCAGTGTACACGTGTATGTAGTATATTTGATTTGATTGTATTCATGCATGCGCAAAACGTAGATATATGGAGCAAACCATTCCAGGCTTAAAAAGTAGAGCGAAAGCTCCCAACTTATTGGAATAAACAAAGATTAGTCATGAACATTGTTGGTGTGAGTTGTAAATATAATTAGAATTGGGGACCAAAATGTAAAATAGGAAAGAGATAAGATGGAGTACCTGAGAAGGATCGAGAAGATCGATTCAGTGTTTCCAACTTCATTGTTCTTCCCCTTGTTCTCTCATATCCAAAATTCTCTTAAATCCACCCATTAATCTACAATATGATATAAAGAGCGGGTTAATCCTGTCGTGTCCATCTTGTTTTCGTTGATTGATTGAGGGCAGAGGTGGTGGAGACGCCGTAGTCGTTGCCATCCTTGTACAGGAGTCGTCGTCGCCCAGACAAGAAGCAGCTCTATGGCAGACGTTGTGGCCACAGCCTCTGCCAACACGAAGACTGAGCTACTAATTCCTGCAAGGTACGGGTGCTGGCTTGGTTGCTTGCCGGCGGCGGAGAGAAAAGCTGCGTGCTTGGTGGTGACCGTGATCTGCTTGCTTGTTTCCTGTATCAAGGAGGAGCTGGTTCTTGGTTGTTGTTTCTCATGGCTGAAACTAGTGGAGAGAAATCAGTAGATCACGTGAAAAACTTTATGAAATATTTAGCAAATTGATGGAGCAGCCTAAGGTGGTGACTACTGATATTCTCAAATGCACACTCGAGTCTAATCCATTAAAATTATCTGGACCAGAGAACTATGTCAGTTGGGCCGTCATTGTAAGTTAATTCTAAGCTCCCATGGATATGAGTGTTTACTTGTCGATTCTGATAAAGAAACAAGCGAGGTTGATACAGCAAGCAAGCAAATAAGTGATAGAGTACTAGTATGGATGTTAAGCAGTATGGAACCAATTATCAAAGAACAAGTTGAAACCTTAACTACGCCTGCAGAGGTGTGGTCGGAATTGGAGAGACAATTTGTAGGTAAATCAAACAAAATGCAAGCTACTCGAATCATGCATGAGTTGACTCATTTAAAGCAAGGCTCAAGGTCTGTAGTAGAATATGCTGGTGAGGTGAAAAAACTGTACGGAGACCTACACTATTATCATCCATTTGAGGCGGTTGACAAAAAGGATTTGGCTATTCATCATACCTAGTTCCGATCTTTTGTGAGCAAGCTATTTCTTGATGGTTTGAATCAAGAATTTGATCTTCGTCGACAGCTTATATTCTCTAAGTCTGAATGGCCTATTCTTGATGAGATAATTTCGAGCATCATAGAAGAGGAAACTAGACTATCACATCCCAAAGTGGATGATTATAAAGCAGTTGATGTTAGTGCTGCCCTATCTATAAAGAAGGGCCGCATTTTTGTTCCCCGAGGGGACCAAGAAAAAAATAAGGTGGTTTGTGATCATTGTGGTGATAAGGGGCACACCATAGAGAGGTGCTTTAAACTGCATGGTTTTCCATCTAGCAAAGTGATTTGTGATCATTGTGGAAATAAGGGGCATACCATAGAGAAGTGTTTTAAGATGCATGGTTTTCCACATGGGTGGAAAAAGGGGGGAATCTCAACCAGGGGGAGTTCGAGGTGCTAACTGGAATTGGGCTAATCATATAGCATCTGAAAAGGAGCTTCCAGTGGTAGATGCTCAAGCTCTTGAGAAATACAACTCTAAGCTCAAGCTCTCTGAAGGCTCATCTTCCACTCAAGGTTCCTCTACTAATTCTAGTTACTATGCTACTTCCCAATGTATAAAACATGTTCAAGCCTATACAAATAAACCTTGGATTATTGATTCTGGAGCAACTAACCATATGATCAGGAGCATACAATCTTTTCACTTCCTATATTCCTTATTCAGGTAAGGATAAGGTGCATGTAGCTGATGGATCCATGGTTCCTATAACAGGACGTGGATCTATACGGTGCACCAAAACCCTATCCTTATCACCGGTTTGCATGTTCCTGATTTCTCTATTAGCTTATTATCTGTTAGTTCTATCACAAAATCCCTCAACTATAGAAGTTGGTTTGATCCTTCTCATTGTGCTTTTTAGGAGCTAGGGACAGGGAGAATTCTTGGGACTGGGACCGTGCATAATGGACTCTATTATCTTGATGAAGGAAGTGATGAAGTCGCTTTTGCATCCAAGATGTCTCCATGTCAAGAATTATTATTACTTCACCGTAGGCTTGGACACCCTCTTTTGATGCTATGTCTTGTAGTTATCCTTCGCTTTTTAATGCATGTCCTAGGGAATCTCTTATATGTGATGCATGTGAGTTTGCTAGACATACAAGAGTTCCCTATCTTAGTTTGGGATTAAGAAGTAACAAACCGTTTGATGTGATTCATTCTGATGTTTGGGGACCATGTGAGGTGTACTCTATTTCTGGACATAGATGGTTTGTGACTTTTATTGATGGCTTTAGTAGATATACTTGGCTTTATCTATTGAAACACAAAATGATGTTTTTGTTGTTTTTAAAGATTTGTATGCCCTTATTAAAAATAAGTTTGGCAACACTATTAAGGTCTTACGTTCAGACAATGGTACGGAGTATGTTAACCAGGAGTTTGAACAATTCCTTGTTTCTAATGGCATTGAACATCAAACAACCTGTGTTAACACTCCTAGAGCAAAACGGTGTTGTTGGACGGAAAAATAGGCATTTGCTTGAGATTGCTTGTTCTCTTATGTTTACAATGAATGTTCCTAAGTTTCTTTGGGGGGAAGCTATGAAAACTGCAACATATTTAATTAATCGGATGCCTCTTCGAGTTCTTGACAATAAATCTCCTGCTGAGTTACTTTTGAATTAGAATGAATTTGTTGTCTCCGAAGGTCTTTGGATGTGTTTGCTTTGTTCATGACTATAGAAATGATATTAGAAAACTTGACCCTCGTGCTGTTAAATGTGTGTTTGTTGATTACTCTTCTACTAAAAAAGGTTATTGTTGTTGGTGTCCATCTGAACATTGTTTCTTTATAAGTATGGATGTGACATTTCGTGAATATGAACCTTATTATGAGCCAACCAATGATACTAGAATTACTCTTTCTCCACCTAAAGGACAACAAGAGGGGGAGAGTAACAGTGGAGGTATTCATATGGGCTCTGTTCTTGTTCCTCCTTTAGTTGGTTCCTATTGGAATAATTCGGTTCATAGTCAGGGGGAGGAAATTAATAACGATAACGAGAGTGGGGGTAATAATTCTTGCCATGGAGATATACAGGGTACTTTGCATTTTCAAAACATAGAGTCTCTTATGCACGAGGACCTAGGTACCAACTCACACTCTCTTAGTCCTAATGCTCCATCTAGCACTCTGGAGCGAGGAGATAATCAACTATCTACTCAACCTCCTCCTAAAAATGATCTACCTATAGCCCTAAGAAAGTCAACTAGATCTTCCAATGTTCCAGCACGTTTTAAAGATTATGTTGGTTATAAACATGACATTTCCAATTTTATCTCCTATAAATGTTGTAGCCCATCCTTCTAGAGTTTTGTTGCATCTCTTGATTCTGTATCCATACCCACTAACTGGAAATTAGGTAAAGAGGATCCTAAGTGGAAGGAGGCAATGCTTGAAGAGATGAGAGCTTTGGAGAAGAATAGAACTTGGGAGCTTGTGGATCTACCGCAAGGTAAGCAACCTATTGGGTGCAAGTGGGTTTTCACCATTAAACACACACCTGAAGGGAAGGTTGAAAGGTACAAAACCCGTCTTGTGGCAAAAGGATACACCCAAACTTATGGGATTGACTATGATGAGACCTTTGCACCTGTTGCCAAGATGAATTCGGTAAGAACTCTTATATCTTGTGCTATCAACTTGGATTGGGAAATATATCAAATGAATGTAAAAAATGCTTTTCTTCATGGTGATCTTCACGAAGAAGTATATATGCACATACCACCCCGCTTTGAAACAGGTCAAATAAATGGAAAAGTGCTTCGTTTATGTCGATCTCTATATGGTTTGAAGCAATCCCCAAGGACTTGGTTTGATCGCTTTAGGCAATCAATGCTCAAAAGAGGCTATATCCAAAGTAATGTTGATCATACACTATTCTATAAACATGCTACAAGCAAGGTAGCAATCCTATAGTATATGTGGATGATATTGTGATTACTGGAAATGACATTGTTGAGATTGTCGATTTGAAGAAATATCTTGCTCAAGAGTTTGAAGTAAAGGATTTGGGGCAATTGAAATATTTTCTTGGAATTGAAATCTCCCGCGGACCAAAGGGGATGTTTCTATCTCAAAGAAAATATGTTTTGGATCTACTAAAGGAAACCGGAATGCTCGGAAGCCGTCCTGCAGCCACACCTATTGAGCAAAATTGTCGTTTAAGTAAAGATGTTGGTACTCTAGTGGATAAAGAATGTTATCAGAGACTGGTTGGAAGGCTTATATATCTCTCTCTCTCACGACCTGATATTGCCTTTGCAGTAAGTGTGGTGAGTCAATTTATGCATGATCCTAGATCATCTCATATGGATGTCGTCTATCGCATTTTGAGGTATCTTAAGAGTAGTCCAGGGAGGGGTCTTTTATACACTAAACAAGGAAGCCTGCAAGTTGAGTGCTATACCGATGCTGATTGGGCTAGTTCTTTGGATGATAGACGATCAACTTCTGGGTATTGTACCTTTGTTGGAGGTAATCTAGTTGCACGGCGAAGTAAAAAGCAAAGTGTTGTAGCACGATCTACGCCCGAGGCAGAGTTTCATGCTATGGCTCATGGTGTGTGTGAGCTGTTGTGGCTGCAGATTCTTCTAACTGAATTGAAATTGTTTGAGAGTGGGCCCTTGATGC